TGCTTCCTAAAATTTGTAGGATGTTATTTCATCTGTTTATGCCCCAGGATATAAATATTATCTAATAAATGCAATAACTAGTCCTGAATTAGCTCTTGTTTTCATATATATCATGAATCATATTTTAAGTGATGGTGATTAAATATCTAAGACATTCAGTGGGTTAAATCAAGTCTCCTTTCTCCTGACTGAATTTATGTTATTAACCCATGGGTCTTGGTTACTTTTCTCATTGCTGAGGCAAAACACCTGACACCCACAAGTGAAAGGACACAGGTTGATTTTGGTTTACAGTTTGTAGAGGTTTCTGTTCATAGTCAGCTGGCTCCCAGGCAGAGTGGCAGGGCAAAGGCACATGGCAGAAGAGGAACAGTCCATGGCAAAGTCATCAGGAGGCAGCGAAGCAAGCCTCCAAAGTTTTATTGCATCCCAGAGTTTTATCCCAGGGTGGACCTTCCTGTTACATCCAGGAATAGTGAACAGTGAACTGATTTAGTACCAGACACCCCTAATCCCAGTGTCACCCTAGATCTAACCAATGATGAAAAGCTCTGTCTATGAGTGCATAAAACTTCGGGAGGATTTAGATGCAACTCATAACACCAGATATGCAAAATTAAGTTAGTGTTGCTTTTTGGCTCATAGCACACTATTGTCTTTGATTATTTATATCATTCTCCAATTTGTAACTTATTTTTTCCTGGTAGAGTTACGGTCCTCCAAATTGGTTTTCTGTTGCTTTTAGGTTTGTGTGTGTGTTACTAGGGATGGAGCTCAGGAGGGCTCTACCACTGAGGCACATTTGCAATGCTTTTTATTTTTTATTTTGAAACCGCCACTCACCAGGTTGCTCAGGCTAGGCTTTAAATTTCAGTTCTCCTTCCTCTGCCTCCCATGTAACTGAGATTACAGATACACAGCATTGTTCCCACAGGCCTCAGCATTTTTATCTATTAAATAAAGAAGTTACAATAGTAATATCTACAGTCTCCACAGCATTCTGTACTGTGAGAATGAGATTAACACTTGAAATGTGCTTGTCCGAGTACCTGGCATATAACAAGTCCTTAATAAATGAAGACTAGTACCATAATTTATCACGGTTATTGTTCAATTTGATAAACTTTCATTGTTGATCTGAATATGATACACTGAAAACTGTTTAGGATTCTTATAGACTTGGTAACTCTCCTACTGGGCAGTAAAGTATCTCACAGCATTTTCCCCCTTAGTCAGTTTCAAACTGCCTATTAAGAATTTATCACTGATTCACACAATCTCAGGCTAGAAGGCAACTGGAAGGTTAATCCTGCAGAGAGACGCACCAGGAAAACGAGGGAAGCGTTTTTAAGCAAACTCTTTCCAGAATGTTTAGTTTCCAGGCTTCCAAGGCAGGTCCCTACAGAGTTCTTGTTCCTTCTGCTACGAAGCTGTCGAGGTATCTATTCACTGTGTTGCACTCAAATCTCCCTTCAGAGCTCTCAGGGCCCTTGGCAGAGCAGACAAACACTGGAAGGGCCTCATTAGCAAGTAATGTGCTGCTAAGTATAAGACAAATTACCAAAGCTGCCCAATTTCCTGTCCAGTGGCACAGTACTGAGGGAGAAAACAGGGTCAAATCTTTCAGTGCTAGCCTTCACATACAAAAAACAGGCATTTGTGCAAGGCTTGTATTTTAGGTTTTTTTCCAGTGTTAATGGTTTTACACTAACCAATGGTACTCTCAGTTGCCTCTTCCTTTGTCTGTGGAGGTATTTGTCACAACCAGTAGAACCCGAGGTCATGAATTAAGTGCAGCTCACTAATTGGTGAAGCTTTTGGGCTCTCTCCAAATGCTTCCTTCTTGACCAAGAGGGCTCTGTCTGTCACTTGAGTTTACCAAGTGGGAAGGTCTTGAAGCACTGTTCATCAGTGGAAAGTTATTTCTTTGACATTACTTAGGTTTAGGAATCATACATTTTGAGAATGCACCTAAAATTGAAATGGAAGCTGGGAATGATGGTGCAGGCCTGTAAGCCCTGCACTTGGGAGGCAGAGGCAGGAGGATTGCTGTGAGTTTGAGGTGAACCTGGGCTACACAGTGAATTCAAGGCCAGGATGAACTATATGGTGAACCTTGTCTCAAAAAACAAAACAAAAAAACTGAACTGAAAAATAACTGCAAGAAGAATAGATTATCGGAAGAACGAATCTATATTCATTCATTTGATTTAAACACTGACTGAGGTTTCAAAATCTTTTTTTTTTTTTAAACCGAGTTAGTTTTACCCCTTTTAAACACATATGCACCTATATGGTTTAATTCTATAGTGTCTCACAAAACTCTCCACATTTAGACAGAGTTTGTGGAAGATGTGGAAGGTGACTGGATCACGGAGGCGCTATGTCACCAGTGAGGTCATCCAGTGATGTGGTCAACTGTGCAATGAGGGACCAGAGCCTGGTTAGAGGTGAGCCACTGAGAGTGTGATCTGGAAGAGCCTCTCCCCCTGCCCAGTTTTTCCCTGCTTCCTGACTGCCCTGCTGTGAGCAGACCTTTCCTCCACGTCATTCCTGTGGTCCGCCAACCACAGCCTGAGCCTTCTAAGACTTCTTCTAAATTTTGGGTGTCGGGTATTTTGTGCCAGCAATGACAAAATGATTGAGACAGTGTCCAAAAGGAAGAATATGTGTGTGCGTAAACTAAACCCCGCCTCAGGGATAGGTTCACAATCCAGAGCATTGTATTACCTCTTTCTACTTCATTTTCCAATACTCCATCATATTCCGTGTAGTGGAGGTTATGTTTGTTTATGCCGAGCAGGGCTTGCATGCACAAAGCAAGAGAGTCTGTGGTGTTAGTGCACAATTTTGCTCTTCTGAGAAAAGAATCTCCTGGCATCAGGAGGCGCTGTGCCGCAGTTTTCTCTTTAGAAGTTGAGCCCAGAGACAAGATGGCCTTCAAAGGGAATCATGTTTTGCTGCCTTTGTAGCTCTAAACAATTAACAGCCCCAGAGCCGCAGAGATAAATGCACTGGCCATGCTTTACACTTGACATCAGAAGTATCTTGTGCAGTGGCCACCTTCCTGTGGATTGTTGCCTCACAGGCTTTCGCTCACCAGAGAGCAAAGGCTCACTATCCATAAAGGCAGACTACCCCTGATCTGTGTATTGAGATTTATAACTTGACAACACCTTTAGTTCTATCTGAAAAACAATAGTTTTGTGTCTTTATGCACTATGCAGGGGACAGCTAACAGTGATAGATTGTGGGCTTTCTGGACTCAATGGCTGGAGGAGGAAAAAGGGCTCTGTCTGAAGCAAGTGGCCAATGGTCAGAATATACCAGTACTCTAAGGGCCAAGCATAGTGCTTACACTTTCCCACTTTTAAATAATAGAATAATAGTAATGAGTCGTATTTACTCTAAAGTTTCAATATTCAGATTCTGAATTCCACTAATCTTTTGCAACCACCCTTCCTCTTTTCTGCTTCTCCTATCACAACATGATGTGTGCATGCTAGGTGCTCAAAATAGATGTATTAACCAATCAAATAGATAAGTGAAGAAAATAGGTGCCTTCCACAAATGATTTAGTTCTTACACTCCACTACTTTTCACCAGGGATGGAAAGGGGATAATGGTACTTTTTAGATTTGTTCACAGGATGCACTAGTATAGCATAACTTTCAACAGTGTGAAAAATGACACAAAATGTTATGCTCCATGGTGGTAGCCTAATTTAAATTTTCAGGTATGTTTCAGATAATAGAAGTATTGTGTGATGGGTTAACTTAAACACATCTTAAGCCTTAAAATAAAAGATAGCAAGGACTACAAACGTGCTCATAAGAAAAAAGATAAAAATGGTGAGAAAAAAAGACAAAATAGAGGTTATGACTACTTTTGAGAAAATAGAGGGTATGACTACTTCTGAGGTCAGTTGGATTATTTCTTGAGGGCCCCCCCCCCTTTTTTTAGAAAAAACTGTTAGTCACCGGGTGCCCCCTCACCTCCAAAAAGACAAAAAGACAGAAAAGTTGTCAGTGGAAGTGAGAAGAGGGTTAACCCGAGCTCCCTCCTGCCTGGAGCAGCTATCATGCACCATGCAGTAATACGCGGCGGCCACACATTTCATATTGACTTCCTCTGTGGTTCTTTTAGCATCAAAACCTTTCACTGTTGCAGGGTTGTGCTCAGAAATGTTGGGAAACTTATTCCTTGGTGGGGAAAAAGATGCCCTCATCAGACGCAATCCAACAGATGCATGAAGCAATTCTTGGGGGCAATGTGACTATTCACTTGCATAGTATTTATTTCTGTCTCCTAGGGATATATTTTTCTCAATTCCTTGGCTGGGACTTTAAGGTCCCGCGGTGCTGCCTCTTATCGGATGCGCCGATTTCAAAAGTCAACAGGCGACAGAGCTGGCTTTGGAGTTGTGGTGGTTGGCTTTTGTAAGAGTCATGCGACTCATTGTCCTGTGTGGTAGCTTGTCCGGGTAGTAGAATGTGTAAAATAAACAGTTGCTCGAAAGCATGAAGAATTAACGAAGTGAAAATTTGGGTTGTGTGTTGGGCAGTTGACACGCAAGTGACCTCCTTAAAGGCTTAGTGACTTAGGAACGTTTAGGGCAGGGATGAATGAATCTTCCCAGCGCTTCCCTCGTCCCAGCCAGTGCAAATCTGGGAAGTCTGTAGGATGAGTGGCGGTGCATAAATACCCGTCAGCTGCGAGAAAGCCAAAGCGGCTCAAACCAGGCCTCCAGCGCACTGTCACCGGGCGCTGGGTAAACACTCACTCGCCTTCGCTGCTGCCCGGGACCCTGAAGGTTACAGCCCGGGGAGACAGGGGGCGCTAGGACCTGGCTGGCGCCGGCCGCCGCGCCTCCGCGAGCACGGGCGGGGCGGGGCGAGGACGCGGGCGCGGGCGCGGGCGCGGGCGGGAGTCATTTATGCGGAGCGGCGCCGCTGCCATTGCACTCGCTCTGTCCGCGCGCCGCGCGCCGCCCCAGGGAGCGCGGGGAGCGGGCGAGCCGGCGCTGCGAGCCCGGGCTACAGGGGGACGCGCGGCCGCTGCCTGCACCGCCCCGCGCGTCGCCTGCGCCGCTCTCGGGGCCCAGCGAGGAGCGCAGCGTCCGGGGCCGAGCCGGCGGGACCCCACCGCGGAGGGCGCCGGTCCCGCTCCGCCGCTGCCCTCGGAGCCCGAGCCGGGGGCGCCAGCCGACCGCCCGGCCCGCGGGACGGAGAGCCGGGCGCGCAGGTCCCGGGCTTCGGGCATGGTCTAGGACCGGCCGAAGTCCGCCGCGCCGCCGCCTGCTGGGGCTCGCCGCCTGCTGCGGATCGCCCGGGGCGGCCCAGGCCGGAGAAGTTAGTTGTGCGCTGCGCCGCGGAGTGCGCCGAGCCAGCCAGCCAGCCAGCGACGCGGCCCGCGGGGCGCCGGGAGCATGGGCTGGGGGAGCCGCTGCTGCTGCTGCCCGGGACGGCTGGACCTGCTGTGCGTGCTGGCGCTGCTCGGGGGCTGCCTGCTCCCCGTGTGCCGGACGCGCGTCTACACCAACCACTGGGCGGTCAAGATCTCCGGCGGCTTCTCGGAGGCTGACCGCATAGCCAGCAAGTACGGCTTCATCAACATAGGACAGGTAAGGACGACAGGCTGGCCGGGCCTGCCGCGGGGGCTGCCGGTGCCCCGCGCTGCCGGCCCCTCCCCCTCCTCCAGATGTGCTCCGCAGCTGTTGTCCTAACTCTCGGGCGATGCGCACTCACACACATGCGCGCACACACATACATACACACACGCAGACACGTACACCAAAGTTGCCAGGATTCACGTTTTGCTCACTTCTTTACTTTTTTCTGTTTTCCTGGGAGCTGCGCGGGACTGGTAGGTCTCTGGAGAGGTCCCAAACACTCCTGGTGTTTCCGACCCGGCTGGACCTTCCCACCCGCGACAGTGTAGGGGCGCCGCCTTAGATTAAGGAGAGGTCTCAGCTGGTGGCCGAGAGTGGGAGGCGTTGCTGATCTCCCTTGGGGTTTAGGGGGCGAGCGCGCCCCTGGCGTTCGCAGGGTCGGAAAAGCCTTTCCCGGCCGGATCCGGCATTCACCTCGGAGGGAAGTTTCCTCTTCTGGGCCCGGAGGACTGCTGGGCTCTGGAGACGCCGGAGCGCCAGACCGGGACTGGGACAAGGCAGGGGCGAGATCCGGTGGAGGCGCAGCTTTAGGGGAGACCTGGCGCTGACTCGTTTTGCAGGGATTCGCGTGCGGTCCAGGGAGAATTGGACGCGGAAATCGGAAGCTGCTGAAACCCGTTATCCCCGCTCGGTGAAAAACGGGATACCTAGCGGGGGCCGCAGGCGCAGCGGGGCGCGAGTTGGTGGCTTGCAGCAGCGCGGGGATTTTGGCGGGGTGCTGGCTGTGGCCTTTTAGCATAGTCGTCGGGCTTGGGGGAGGCCAGTAAATCGAGGGGGGCTGCTGGTAGTGTTGGACCTGGGGGTATTACGCGCGCAAAGGTCTTGGCTTCCTTGTTCTTTTCCCGCAGGACTCTGCGAGCCATGGGGGGCGGGGAGGGGGTTCCCTAGGATGCCCCTCCCTCGGGCGTCCCTTGGGCTGCCCGGAGGAGGGGGCCCTGCAGAGATCCGACGCGACTCCGCGGGCGCGGGAAGCCTTAGTAATGGGTTGGGCGCTCTTCCAGCGGACGCGCTGTTGGGACCGCTCCTGGCGGACGCACCCTACGTGTTCTGCCAGGCCGAGGGGGGAGGAAGGTGTCCTTTGGTACGGGGGACCGAGGGAGCACCGATGGCTTCGGATGCCCGGGTGCTGCTGTTCAGAAAGGCAGGGCCGGTGGCCCCCGGGGCGGGGGCGCGGCACCGTGAGCCAGAAGCCCGAGCTTCCTTCTCCACGCCTGGGAAAAGCTGGCGCCGCGGGAGGGCTCGCTCTCTGCCCTCCCAGGAAAGACGGCGTCGGGAGCACTCAGTCGCGAGTCGCTTGGGGGACCCAGGCCAGAGCAAGGCTCATGTTTGTTCCTGCTGTCTACCCCTAAGGAATCTGGCCTGGCCAGATTTTGTTGTCTAAGCTTCTATCTTATGTGCAAGAGTTGGTTTCTTATGGCCTCTTGGGGTCTACTTTTTTTTTTTTTTTTTTTTTTTTTTGTGGAAGAAAGAGCACCAGATCCATTCAGGCCTTTTCGGAACCAGAGATTCACGTTGAGCGCTGCATATATCTATGTAGGTGTTGTAAATGGGAAACTAACATTGCAAGTACAGCAATTCCGTTAATCTTTCTAGAGTCTTTTGTCAGAGTCTGGTGACACTGAGCATCTTCCAGATGCCAGGCGCGTTTGGAAGGATACGTTTCTTCTTCTTCTTCTTTTTCTTTTTCTTTTTCTTTTTCTTCCTCCTCTTCCTCCTTCTCCTCCTCCTCCTCTTCTTCTTCTTCTTCTTCCTCCTCCTCTTCCTCTTCTTCCTCCTCCTCCTCCTCCTCCTCCTCTTCTTCTTCTTCTTCTTCTTCTTCTTCTTCTTCTTCTTCTTCTTCTTCTTCTTCTTTTCTTCTTCTTCTGTTGTAAAAATACTGTTTGACTAGTATTACTTCACACGCAGCAGGTGAAGAAAGCAGGACACCACAGTCATCCATCTAGACAATGGCGAGGCCATGAACCCTGTGTACCACCCTGGCCCAAGCCCGTTCTCCTCTGGATCCTTCTTTTATTGAATCCTTGAGTCCTATATAAGGAAGGAGAGAAAAAAGTAAAATCCTATTTCCCTGAATCCTAACTAGTGGCCCAATGGGCCGGAAACAAACAGCAGTCAATCTATATTTAGCTGAGACAAACCTGGACTTGTTGAATCCCAGAAACTTCCTGACTCACAAGGGCAGAGGGGTGCTTGTTCCTGATCTCATATAACTGAGGTGACCTAGCATAGGACATTGTCAGCCAACCCACTGTGACCTGCAGCCTCTCCTGACCTTGTGGTGGCCTTCTAGTGAAGACCAGTGGCTTTGCATTTAAAAAGGAACTCGTTTACGTACACATTACTAATACTGTTTATTGCAGTTTTTACAATCCCAAACAAGGAAATGTAACTTTACTAAGGTCACAGGGGACCCTTGAATTGATGGCATCAGCAGTGTAGAAAGGTCAGCTATTCTATAGTGTAAAGCATTTCCTCTGTTGATCAAAGGTGCATTAAGCCAATGCAAGCCTTTAGAGTGGTAAATTGAATTAACATATGTGGCAACATTGTTGCACTGGAAGGGCCAAATTTATTTCTTATTCATCTTTTACTGCACTGACCTTTTAAATAGTTAGACATCCTTTTGTTGTTCTTCCTTTCTATCAGCAAACCAGCTGTGTGTTTCAGCCCAGGGTAATAACTAATTTTCAAACCTCTCTGGAATGTTGCTTTTCACCCATATGGGATTGGGGTCTCAGGTGTTGCAAGTTGGAAAGTAAAAGATGTTTTTGTTTCTGTAAGTCCTTTACTGTCCTGGTAGGATTTTTTGGTATCTTCAGCATGATATTCTAAGTGAATAAGGTAGTGAATTTTCACCCTGATAAAGGTACAGTTTTGATGGCCTCCATGGACTATCAATGTAGTGTTTTGTGTAACATGTTAGCATTTAAAAGACACTAAAGGAAAAATTTCTGGCCTGGAGATTTCTACAGAAAAAAATAGGCGTACCTGTTCTGTCCCTGAAAGATAGGATGTGCAGGGTAACACAGGAAGCAATCAAACAGAAAAAAGGATATGCTTGACTCGTGGAAAAGAACAGTTATGGGGGTTTTCTTGTCTCTCTGGTTGTAGAGATAGCATTAAGCTTTGGTAGGGTTTCACCAACTGCTTATCTTTTGTAAGTAGTTATGCCTTGAAATTCTGAAGCATTACCTAACCTTAATCATTGTTAGTAGCCATTAGTATGTTAGCACAGCTCAGACTGTGCTTTGTAATGATGTGGGCTCTATGGCATTCTGCTTTTCTTCCCCTGTGAGCTCTAGCAGCCTCCTTAGTATGTAGTAGAAGCAGCACTTGCTGGTTGGCTAAGGGGAAGAGGTGTGTGTGCCCCTTAGCCTGCATGGCGAAGGAGGAAGAGGCCTCTCTCTGCTTTCCTCCTAATCTTGAGCTCACAGAGTACTGGTCAGAGAATTGAAATGACATGAAAGATCAAGACCAGACATAGTTAACTGTAGACCTCAGCTTCTACTAAGTCTACAATGAGGAGTCAATTTCTGGTTATCAGAATCCAGGGAGAAGGCCCCTGTGGACAGAGGCTTTGTGCAGTGCTATAGCGGTATTTATCCTTCTCTGAGTTAACCTATAATCTTTGTCTCCAAGCCTGAGATCACCAGTAGCAAAACCCCCTCCCCAACCTAGGTAATGTATCTTGAAACAGAAGGATAAGACCAGATGCAAGCCATCCTGGAGAAAAATTTTTCCTGGGGTCCCCACTTGATGGCTGTAAAAGTAGGAGAGTCCCTGAACTTTGGGAGTCTTTGGTAAAGTCTAAATCTCTAGACAATACACTGAATTAACTATGTGTAGCTCAGCGCATAGTTAGGGATGCAGTAAAAGGTTTGTTGAATGTGAAGCAGAGGAGAAAGGTTGTAATAAATGAGCTCAAAACTTTATTTAGCTATGGAGAAAGGAAGACAGTTTAACAATGAAAGATGCAAATTGTCAAGATAAGGAAAAGTTTTGTAGGCAGGAGAAATGATTTTCTATTTTAGCAGTTTAAAAATAGTTTCATGGGCACATTTAAATAATTATGGCTGATTTCCTGTAGCAGTGTCCCTTTCTCTCCTTGGCTTTTATTGCACCCCATTACATTTTGTAGGGTAAGTTTGTTAGATCAGAGAAAGAGAAGAAGAATTTAAAATATAAAGTTTATATTTCATATAATTTTGAACACAGGTTGTATGAATAAAGTCTGCAGAATTTTCAGAATAGATAGGGAGAGGTACTGGAGTAGAAGAACCCTGTGCAGAGGTGATCCAAAGGCCAGGCTGGGCTGATAGCTTGGATCTGTTGTTCATGGGATGTGAAAGACTGGGGAGCAGTGGCAGTGCATTGTGGGTACTTATGTTGGTGCTGCAAGTCGGGTCCATCCCTCGTCTGATGGGTTATATGATGGCGGACTGAACTCCCCTGGTAAATTCCTAGACACATGTTAAAGAGTAAACTGAGCAATCCCTGGTTGCTCTGTGGGAGACATCTGGCTTTGCACAGGCCAGCTCTTCACACCCAGGAACCTCCTCCTTGACCCTGACCCAGACCGGTTGCTCTCACTTACGTATTTCTCCAGGAGGCCAAAGGAGGGAGCACAGGGAACCTTGACTGGAAAAGCCATTCAGAGTGCTTGGCCTGCCAACCGTAGGGTTGATGCCTTAACCTCATAGACCAGGAATGGTGTGGATGTGACCCTCGGGAATGTGTGGGGTCCACTTGAAAATGATGCACTGCATTTTTTATGAACCCCATAGCAGCTAAATTTTCTTATCATTATCCTTCATGGGCCTCTGTCCAGAGGTTTCAACCTGAAAGTTCAGCCAGAGAAGCAGGGTAGTATGCCGGGAAAATGTCTAGCTCTGTCTGACTCTGGCTCAGAGAGGGAGTCCGACCCAGCAGTATCCCCTGGGCAGGGCGGAGTG